TCTTGGAAGAAGTACAGCAAGAATGCTTCTTAGAAGGGAGGATGGCAAGACTTCGTCTCACTTATTTTGGAAGTGTTATCAGGAGGGACTAGTCCCTTGAGAAGGACATCATGTTTGGTAGAGTAGAGGGTCAGTGAAAAAGAGGAAGACCCTCAACAAGATGGATTGACACAGTGGCTGCAACAGTGGGCTTGAACATAGCAACAATGGTGAGGATGGGGCAGGACTGGGCAGTGTTTCGTTCTGTTGTACAAAGGGTCACTATGAGTCGGAACTGACTCGATGGCACCTAACAACAACAACAAATAGATCTAGGTTGTTTTGGAGACACAAAGATTGATTTATCGTAACTTTTCGTTTTTATTTCTTTACACTAGCTTGAGGAATAACCTGTCTTAAGTAGTAAGTCAGTGTTCCTAAAAAGTTGGGTATAAAATAGACATTTATTTGAGGCATAGTTTTTCATTGAATTGTATTATTATTCAAAGGTGCTTCAGAATCCTTTAAGACCAAGAAGTGGTGTTTCCTAAAAATTTACCTTTATGAGATTCTAACTAATGCCCCCCCCATTCTTAGTCATTGAATAGTTATTGTTCTATAAACCAATAGTTTAAAACCCTATTTTAATAACTATTTAAAAGAATATTCTAGTGAATACTTTAGTATTGATTTATAAGGCTAAACTTTTTCAACTTTTGGAATCTTACCGCAAGCATTAATTTCATATCAATCAGTTTATATATAACTAGTACTTTAGTCCAAAAATTAATGGAACACTTTATCTTTTGGAATCCTCTAGAATGGGGGTCAGTAAACTCTTCTATGAATGGCCAGATAGTAAATATTTTAGGCTTTGCAGACCAAGAGACAAACTTGGGAATTTTGTACAGGTGTTTATATAACAAGACAGAAAACAAATTTCTAGTTTTTGTAATACAGGTCTATTAATGAGCAGATGGAATATACTTATGGATACTGGAATATGAATTCCATATCATTTTCAAGTGTTATAAAGTATTATTTTTCTTTTAATTTTTTTCAACCATTTAAAAATATAAAAACCATTCTTAAATTGCTGTTTGTGCAAAAACAGGCAGCAAGCTGGATTTGTCCCAGGTAGTTTTCAGACCCTTGCTCTAGAACATGGCTTCTTAACCAGTCGTCCATAAACCCACACCAGACATGAGTTTCATGGGGTCTTTGAACTTAATGAGCTCATAAGCAAAGTTTTGTGCATCCATGATTTTTTCTGCGGACAGGGTCTGCATGTCTCATATGACTCTCAGAAAAGTCCAGGACTCAGGTGTAAAGAATAAGAATCACTGTTCTAAAGATATTTTGTTAATTTTAGGAGACATTTCTTGAGTGCCTGCTAGTACCCAGGCACTGTACAAGTCACTGAGAACTCATGGGAATTTTGACCCTATAAACTAATATTGCTACAGGCACTGAGGGGAAATACTTGTCAGTTATCTCAACCATTCTTGTTGGTTTTGCAAGACACAGAGGAAAATGAAAGCCATGCCTTTGGTTCTAGAAAGAAATGCCTTACTCATAGTCTCAAGTATTTATAAATAATTTAGGTTTGAGAGAATATCTGGAACATATTTAAGTTTCCAGAACAGTTCAGGCCATAAATAATAATCAGATTCAACCTACTATGGACATCTTTCTTTAAAATAAAAATTACCCCACAGTTAGGTTCATGTTAGCGCAACTAAAACTAAGGCCTGCAAAGTAGGTACTGGTAGCTGGTAGCCAAAGCTCAGGCCCTGAATGTTCAAATTCATGAAATGGAGTAGTTAACCCAGGGGCAGAGGCGGTGGTGAGAAAACAGAAATGTCCATTGGAAGATGAGTAGGAAGCTCAGGAGTTCCTGCCTATGCTCCAGGGTTGGGAAGGAAAGAACTTACTTCTCAATAAACAGTGTTATAGAATGAAATTTATACTTAAAATGGTTATAAAAGCTATAATACTAATCTTAAAACCTAAGATGGTACTGTATAGTTCGTAGTGAAATATTAAACATTTTGAATGTTTTGAGCAATCCCCTTGCATTTTTTATTGTGTTGTTAGTTGCCTTCCAGTTGATTCTGACTCATGGCACATTTTTTTATACCAGTTAAACCTGTTGCCGTTCAGTCGACTCTGACTCATAGTGACCCTGTAGGACAGAGTCGAACTGTCCCATAGGGTTTCCAAGGCTGTAGTCTTTATGGGAGCAGATGCCACATCTTTCTCCCGTGGAGCGACTGGTGAGTTCGAACCACCAACCTTTCGGTTAGCAGCCGAGTGCTTAACCACTGTGCCGCCAGAGCTCACATTTTCTATATAGATTGTTAATTAGTTTACAGCTTTTCTCATATACTTGGAGCATATAACAAGCCTAAGCATATTAAAATGTATTCCAAAGATAGCAGAAGTTCACCAGGAAAATTTCCCTGGCGAGTCACCCCCCCCCCCAAAAAAAGGGCAAAATTATGGAAGATTTGAGCTATTGTAGAGTCCCTGGGTGGCACAATTAAGCGCTCAGCCAGACCCTGAAAAGTTGGTGGTTTGAATCCACCCAGAGGCGCCTCAAAAGAAAGGCCTGGAAATCTGCTTCGGAAAGATTACAGCATTTGAAAACCCTATGGAGCGCAGTTCTGCTCTGAAATACATGAGGTCATCATGAGTCAGAATCAACTTGACAGCAACTGATTTGATGTTTGATTTGAAACTACTGTAAACAAAAGCATCATTATATGCATTAGGCTTAAATATTATTAACTGATGGTACTGATAAGTGATTAACAACTTTTCTTAAAAAAAAATCTGGAAAATCCTCCCACCCCTGGGTTTTTCTTTCAATTCAGTGGTTAAAAGATTTAATAATGGCTCTTCTCAGTTCTATAAAAGGTAAAATCAAAAAGTATCCAAGAGAATGGGATGGTGACATCAGTGAGAAATTTACTATGAAAGTCAGAGAGAAAAAACAAAAAAGTAAAATAAGGAGTACTGTTGTGTGGTTCAGATACGGAGTTAAAACCATCAGCGATTCTTGCTGATTTTGAGACGAATGTTGAATTGATAAAGTCTGTTGTATTGCTGAAGCATGCCTGGGTAGCTGTTTCTAAGAGATTTTCATCTCATTATATAAAATAACACCACATCGGCTAATTCCTGGAGCTTCACGTGTCATTCATTGGGATGTATGACATGTCCCTATAGCCTCGACCATCATAATGTATAGTTAGGCTAGGTCAACCCTTGGCTGTTTGTCCTTAAACTTTACGGCACCTCCACTGACTGCCCCATCAGCTTTCCTGGTTCTCGCACCTGGTGTTGCCCCCTTGCCTCTTAAGTCTCATGGCCACGATGACTTCTCTACCCATCCTACTGAGTCTTACCAATTCTAGATTTTTCCTTTGGGACCAGGCTCTTTCTGTCCTTCCTAATGTACCAATTAGCTAATTTCATAAACTCATCTACTAGTGTGCTAATTAGGTGAGCACTAGAGGGCCTTTCCTTTCCAAGTAGAATGTAGTTTATAACAGGGGCTTCCTGAAGATGCTGTGCTGGTGAGAATTTCAAGTCAGACAGGGGGATAGGGTGGTAAATTTATATTGGCCCTCACTTCATACCCCACAGCGTCCTCTTCTACCTGTATGTAGAGCTGTTCCTATTAATGGAATTAAGCAGAAGGTGTGGGCACAGCTTGCCAATGCAACAGATTCATTATATTTTGGGTGAAAGAAATAAAAACAAAGCAAAAAACAACACATGCTATTAGCAATACACAGACACCACCAGCTACACAGCAGTGTACTAACCACCTTATACAGTCACCGTTAGAAATGTTCTACATTTGCTGTTAATTCATTAACACATTTAAATTTATTTTAAAAATTTATTAGTGATTATATCAGTCATTCAATAAGTATTGGGTACTATAGGGGAGACAAGGTAAGCATCAAAGGAATTATAACCACCTTGAGAAGAAAAGATGCCTACGCATGGAACAAACTGGAAAACAGCACAGTAAAGTGATAAATTATGTAGTTACAGATAATAAAGGCAATACATATATCAAACTCTCTGAGACCAGGACCTTGAAAAATAGAAAAACCAGTAATAACCTTTTGCATTTCTAAGGCTTTTCTTCATAAATTATGCTCTAGTTTATGTCCCTTATAATCCCGTTATCTTATCTCTTCCTGCCTAGAAGGGATCCTTATAGCATTTCTGGGGCCTCCCTTCGAACGGTGGGTATCATCTGACTCCCTAGATAAAGGCAAGGCTAGACAAGTCAGATTAGTTTGTGAAACAAGACCTCTAATTAAAAATAATAATAATAATAAAATGTAAGTATAATGACCGTAACAATCTCATTTTAGGTAGATGGCAAGAAATCATTAAGTGCTCACTTTTTTTTCATCTATTCCTTTCTTCCTCAACTCCTTGCTGTCTGCCATAATTGGCAGTGGACCAAGATGAGAAGCAAGGCCAGTGTTTGGCAGGGCAGGTGGGAACTGTGGTTTCACAGGCAGCCTTAGAACCAAGCAGTACTGATAGGAAAGAAGAGGGAGGAGGTTGGAAGGAAGGGGTCTTTCAAGACTACCTGAAGTCTGCCTGCAAAGACCATGCCTGTTAAGGAGACATGAGACATTTCCCCTTGTGTGATATTGCTGGTGATTGAAAAAAAAAAAAAAGAAGAGAAAGAACTAGAGAAAACACATTTGAAACAGATTTCATCAATGAGACTTCATTTGGCTAAGTCATGACTGTTAAGATGATGTGGCTTGTTTTATCAGCTTACTAATAAATTTGTTACTTAAAGATGTGTTGTTTTAAAAGCAACTCCTATGTGGAAATTGGTATGAGGCTAAAAATTAATCAGAAGAAATAATATCAATTTTGATATGGCTTAGGTTTTTGTGAAAGAATGCTGCCTTGTGTATTAATAGTAAGAATCTGTTTATCTCTAACACCTTTTTTCCCTTTCTCTTTTAAACATACAGAATTCTTTTCCTGTGACTCCATCAGTTGCAGCTAATCCTGCCATGCCTTTCAATCCTTACTTACCTCATCCTGGGATGGGCCTGTTTCCTGCCGAACTGTTACCAAATGCACCTGTTCTGATTTCTGGAAACCCACCTCTTGCATTGCCAGGAGCTGCTGGTCCAAAACCGATGCGTTCTGATAAACTGGAGGTATTTGTGTAGAAATATATCGATACTTACAGGATCATCACCAATATTAACCTCATGCATAAATCATTATTATCAGAGGCCAATGTTATGAATGTTTTCAATAAGTGCACATGGATGTTTAGTTTATAAAGTATAATCTCAGATAAATGTTAAACAGTTTACTAGTGCAATTATACATTGCTTCAGTTGTACAGTACATCATATAATATCTCGGTGTGTATCTCCTTTGCTGTGGCACAGGAAGTTTGGGTGGGGATGTTCCTTGGACCCAGGTTTCAGTTTTGCAGCATGGGATTGCTGTTTTTGTTCACGAGTCTCTACTTGTTGGAGTAACCAAACTGAACAAAAGTAGACTAATCTAACTCTGTACGAATGCAGAATGAGCCTCATAGTGTCTAAATCCTTTTCTCCATTTTAAGAATGATGTACTGGATAGTAAGTATCCCTTGATTCCAAAGAAAAGAAACTGTAAATGAAATTTCAAATAGCTTTTTGCTTTATTGAAGTCCTTCAGTCTTACCTCCATTGTCGTTCTTCATAAATTAAAATAAATAACTGGTTGATTTCTTACAAAGTCGGCTCCATTGACAGTCCCTGAAATACCTAGTAATGTATCATAATGGAATCTAATTGTACATGTAAATCAGTTATGGTTCACAAGTCTGCTGTGTGAAACCATCAGTGCATAGCTGGGTGATAAAGACTCATCTCGGACCTTAAAAACATAACCCCTGCTGCAAACATAGCTAATCACCCTTTAGGCTGTGTATTAAATGGAGGATTAAAAAAATGCTTTTCAATATCTTTAAGCATTTTTATTTCAATGTTACAAAAACAGACCACTTTCATTTTTTTCTTCAAGGAATAGAAATTCTGTCTGTATTTACAGCTCATAGCAAATGTGGCTATACATTATTACATTCACTGGCAAAATAAATAAAAGTGAATCAGTCACCTGCTAGCCATCAATGTGATGGTGCTTTTTCTTTCTTCTTTAAGGTCTGCCGAGAATTTCAGCGTGGAAACTGTACCCGTGGTGAGAACGATTGCCGCTATGCGCACCCTACTGATGTTTCAATGATTGAAGTGAGTGATAATACCGTGACAATCTGCATGGATTACATCAAAGGTCGGTGCTCCCGGGAGAAATGCAAGTACTTTCATCCTCCTGCGCACTTGCAAGCCAAACTGAAGGCCGCTCATCACCAGATGAACCATTCAGCTGCCACCGCCATGGTAAGGACAGGTCCAACTTCTGGACTATTTGTTTTAGGGTCAATGATTAGTACATTCCCAAAGTTGTCTAACATCCTGTAATCATCATCTTGGAAAGTTAATTAGTTAAAAGCTTTACTAATGATTTTAACCTACTATGTGCTCTTTCAAAGGAGCCATGGTGGCACAGTGGTTAAGTGCTTGGCTGCTAACTGAAAGGTCGACAGTTTCAACCCACCAGCCACTCTGTGGGAGAAAGATATGGCAGTCTGCTTCTTTAAAGCCCAAGAAATGCAGTGTTGAGCTAAATCTCCTCACATACATTTATAGTTCCAAGTCCCATGACAGAGACCTTTCCCTTCCACAAGGCCTTGTAAACCCTATGGGGCAGTTCTGCTCTGTCCTATTGTGTCGCTATGAGTAGGAATCGACTCAACGGCTTTGGGTTTGGTTTGGTGGATGTGCTCTTTCTCCAGTTTTAAGAGAGAGGGTAAACTATATGATTTAAAGAGTAAATTATTTTGGAGTTGTTTTTTATAGTCTAACTAACCTCAGGACCCGGAAGGGGCAGAAAACTGCTTCTCTGTTCTGTGAGCTACCTTCATGGACACTTAACTAGTAACATCCTTAATGCCTTTCAAAAAAGCAAGGACTTGAAAGATGGGATGTAAAGTGGGTTCTAATTTCCCAAAGTCTGAGGTTCTCTTTCCTTTTTGTAGGGGTGGTGGTTTCTAGGACAAAGGCAGCAGCCTGCCAAGGTTGTGGGGAGGGAGAGGATAAAAATTTTAACATGGTTGGGAGAAGAGAGCTGAGTTGCCCTAGCAAGCCAGCTTTAGGGTAATATTGGTCTACTTAACAAAAAAATTTTTGTGTAACACTACAGTGCGATAGGTTGAGAAATAAGAATTACGATTACTTAATAGTTTGTCACAGATGTCGATTATTTCCATATGCTACACTATATTTCTTTTACTGCCTGGGTCTTCACTCATGTAATAGCGGGAAGTAATGTCAAATAAGGAACAAAACTCTGAGGAAACCTCATGTTCCGTGGCTGTAGAAAAAGCACCTACATGCCCTGGAAGCCCAAGAAATGCAGTGTTGAGCTAAATCTCCTCACATGACATTTATAGTTCCGAGTCCCATGACAGAGACCTTACGCTTCCACAAGAGAGGGACTTTTATTTTCAAGCATCCCTATTTGTTAAGAAGTTTTTCCTCATACTGAGTTGAATTCTATCTTGCTGTAACTGGAACTTCATAAAAGAAATCAATCTTCATTCCATAGGAGAGTGACTCTCCTATGGAACCATTGAGGGGAAATGATTTTGCCTAAGATTTTAACTAAGCAAGAGAGGAGACTGTGTATCTGGTTATTAGGAAGATTTCCCTTTGGTATTAGTGAAGTGAGGGTGTTTCCTTTCTCTGGAAAGGAGCATAGTTTGATCATCAGAACCAAAGTTGTGTTGGCAAGCAAACTGCAGGTTGAGGCAGGGCCTAGATGAATATTCAACTGTTAGACCCCGGGAAGGTAGTTGTGTTTGTTTATTTTCAGAAGGCTAAGTACCCCAAGTTTCTCCAACCTTTTCTTGTAGATCATGTTTTCAAGGACACAGCATGGTTTTTGGACTTGGTGTGCTTTCTCAATACCCTGCTGTCTCAGAACTGACTCCATTACTTCAGGAAGTATCTGAGCACCAAAGTAGAACAGATTTATTATCTCCCTGATCCTGGATTCTTTTCTCAATCCAAAGAGTGAAAAATGTTAAACAAACAAACAAACAAAAAAAAAGATTTCACCACATTTTCTTGTCTTAAATTGTTTTGAATGGGGAATTTAAAGCTATGAAAATAACAAGGTATCTAAAATATTCTATGCAGAATTTCAGCCTCTAATTTTTTGATTACTGAAGTTGGTGGCATAGAGTTCAGAATCAGAGTGGACCTATTAACAAAGCAGAATGCCGTTGGCCCCATAAAAATAAAGGTTCTCATACACATGGGATGTTGAAGAAATGGCTTCCCTGTAACCATGCTCCGGCATGGAGCCTTCATACGTGTGGGCCCATTTCTGATGATTTGGAAATGTTTAGTCGAACACATATGTTACAAGTCAGCCCAGAGTTTCCGTTCAGAGAGCTAAATGTCATGTAGTAGGCCTTTGGTTAGTACTTGTGAATGTCAGTAGAACATTTCTTTCTGAGGAACTGATCAAAGTAGAGACTTAGTGGTCAGGTCTAATTGGCACATAGGAATTTGTTTGAGGTAAGAGTAAACAAAGGAGACTGAGGCATAGATATTTAGTTCCTCCACAGTCTTTGGCAATTTTGTGAGTTTGTGATGAGGCTGTTGAGGCCCTGCCCACTGTTGATAAGCAAAATATTTAATGGTAGTACAGGCACCACCCAGTCAGAACTGAGCACTGAGTTATCAAAATGGACGCTCGAATTAACAAACACAACTACCTTCCCAGGGTCTAACAGTTGAATATTCATCTAGGCCCTGCCTCAATTTGTAGTTTGCTTGCCAACACAGCTTTGGTTCTGATGATCAAACTATGCTCCTTTCTAGAGAAAGGAAACACCTTCACATCACTAATAACAAAGGGAAATCTTCTTAATAACCAGATACACAGTCTCCTGTCTTGCTCAGTTAAAATCTTAGGTAAAACCATTTTCCCTCAATAGTGATAAAGGTGTTAGAAACTATAAATTACATTTTATAATTTATAGGTTTTGTCATGACCTTTGCCATCTGGGCCTCATTTATAAATTTGGAAATTATGTATCTCTAAAGCTTACTTTAGAGTAAGCCCTAGTGGCGTACTGGTTAAGAGCTATGACTGCTAACCAAAAGGTCGGCGGTTCGAATCCACCAGCTGTTCCTTGGGAACCCTATGGGGCAGTTCTTCTCTGTCCTATAGGGTCGCTATGAGTCAGAATCGACTTGACAGCACCTAACAACAACAACAACAACAAAGCTTACTTGGAGCCCTGGTGGCACAGTGGTGGTTAAGCGTTTGGCTGCTAACCAAATGGTTGGCAGTTCGAATCCACCAGCTACTCCTTGGAAACTCTGTGGGGCAGTTCTACCCTGTCCTGTAGGGTCACTCTGAGTCGGAATCGACTCAACAGCAAGGGGTAAAGCTTACTTAGGAGCCATGGTTGCAGAATGGTTAAAGCACTTGGCTGCTAACTGAAAGGTCGGCAGTTTGAACCCATCAGCCACTCCAGGGGAGAAAGATGTGGCAGTCCGCTTCCAAAAAGATTTACAACCTTGGTAACTCTATGGGGGCAGTTCTGCTCTGTCTTATAGGGTCACTATGAGTCGGACTTGACTCGATGATGGTGGATTTGGTTTGGTGAAGAGCTTAGTTGGTTTACTTGATGGCACTTTCCGGGCATTCTTGTCTGAACTTAGGAGAAATAAAAAGTAAAACTGTCACACTGTGAGCACTGACATAGAGTTCCCACAAGAAGATAGAGATGAGATACCTCTGGGCCTTTGTTATCTACAAGAATAAGGAGATCATTGCATGCCACTTTATGGCACTTGGAAGGCTTGTTACTTAGTGTAAGTGTTCCTTACAAATTTGGTGCATACTGAATTGTGTTGCTGGGACATGTTGTTTAAGTAATGTGTAATTTGCTGAGAAAAAAAAATGTAATGTTAAACTTCTCCAACGAATCTGGTCCAGGGGCCAGTTTGATTGCATATTATAAGCGATGTGGGATTTTGAAAGAACTGTAGACATGAAAGGAGGATTTGAAAATGCTAATAGCTTTTAAAATTAAACCTTACAAGGACTTAACAAAGCAAACTGTACATACTAGAATGCACAGCAAGTCTCTATAATTGAGAGTTGCACACATTTTGCTAGTTATCTGTCATACCTGGGTGGGGTGGGCGGTGGTGAGGAATGACTCATTTGCTTTCTCCTTACATGTTGGTTTGGAAATATACAGTTAGAGGATTTGAATCTGAAGTCCTTGTATAAGTTAAATTGTATTTTACTGTGCTGTGGTATCAGACTCTGATCTACCAACATCTGTTTTATCACCTGTATACCTTTTATCTCCTAGACTCACATGCAGCATTTTAACTGGAAGAAATCAGTTTCCTGCTATATCTGTTGCTTCTGCTAATCTCATTTTAACCGATTAATAGATGAGCATCCCTGAGATGTTAATTTTAAATCAAACTGTAAATATAACTACAGATATACATTCTGAGCTCCAACTCACTCATTGGTGCCATGTTTCATTTTTCTTATTGTTAGGTGGTCCTTTTTTATTTTGCCTAAATTAGTGAAGTCGCAAAGCTCTATTTTCCCTCGTATTTTTATTTTCTGAGGCTTTGTTTGCTCTGTTTTGGACTAACAACTCATCTAGTGAACCACTTAACCTCTGAGTCAGTTACCTGGCTGTGGCCGCCATTGCTTATCGAATACCTTGCTCAAATGGAAACCCTTGCAGGTAGCCATATGTTACGTAACTGGTGCTTGCTTGGTTTGAGTACATTTTTTACTTTCTTTGGTACTATTTTTTAATCCATCCCTCCCCCACAGGCCCTACAGCCTGGTGCACTTCAACTGATACCAAAGAGACCGGCACTTGAAAAGACCAATGGTGCCACCCCGATCTTTAATCCCAGTGTTTTCCACTGCCAACAGGCTATGGCTAACCTGCAGCTCCCGCAACCGGCATTTATCCCTGCAGGTGAGAACAGGGCTCTGGGCACTGCGAGTTTAGTGATGTTGGGAATGTATACAAGGTAAAACAGCTTCCAAAGAGCTTTTATGGGAAGACTGTCAATTGATATTTTGATTAGAAATGAAACAAGGCAGTTATACTTGATCTGCTAGTATATAGAGAAACTTGTTTTTCTATGATCCCTGAAAATGAATGGTTTGAAATCAAATGAGGAAAAAGTGCCAGTGTTTCACATTTTTAGCATTTCTTATTTTTCACTTCTTGTGATTGGTTCACTTGGTTCTGTCTCAAACTAATTCCTTGACTCTTAGGTATCACTGTTAGAGACAGTGGTCTGCCATCAAAAAAATGGCTTCCCAGCTTCAGCATTGCAAAAATTTGTAGCCTATATATCTTTGATATACCAAAGGTAATTATAATAAAACTATCCTGAAATTTATATTATAATATAGTTTAATATGAGGAGCCTGGGTGGTGCAAGTGGTTTGCGATTGGCTGCTAACCCAAAGGTTGGCAGTTTGAACCCACCCATTGGCACCACGAAAGAAAGGCCTGGCGATCTGCTTCTGTAAAGATTACAACCAAGAAAACCTTATGGAGCAGTTCCTATACTCTGTAACACGTGAGCTTGCCATGAGTCGGGGGTCGATTCAATGGCAGTTAACAACAACATAGTATAATACAGTATAGTATTGGCCATGAAACAGGTTGTTTTAGCCTCTAATTCTTAAACCACTTAATTTAGTAATTTAGCAAATTATTATTTTTCCTAAAACTTGATAGCGTATTTTTATATGTTACCTCCTACATTCAACTATATTTTATAGCATAATAATTTTGCCACATTGTACTCAACCATAGCAATGATTGTGAGGATGGCACAGGACCGGGCAGTGTTTCGTTCTGTTGTACGTAGGGTCGTTATGAGTCAGAACTGACTCGACGGCACCTAACAACAGCAAGTTTTGCACCAAATTGAATAGAAAATTTTAAACCAGAATTTTTTTCAAATAAATATCATATATGTGAGGAAATAATTTTCTACTAGTGGTTCAATACTTGTAGAATGAGCACATAGTCTTCTAGAATTAAATTGAAAATACCAACCACTGGGAGTACAGTGGATTTTTTTTTTACCAGAATAATAAATGCTCCAGTTCAGAAATACTATTGAATGAAAATGGCATATTATTTAAAATTAATTTAGAAAGCCTTTTTAATTATATAAACATACTAAACACATATTATTGTATATCTGAATTTGAAAAGGAAACCATTGGGTAATTAATAAATTAATCAGTTAATTCATTTTGAAGGCAGCCATGTAAAGCAAAACAAAACACATCATTTGTCTCATTACTGACCACAACAGTTGCTTATGACATCATTTAAAATAATGCAATTCTTACACATTTATGTAATAGTTTCTGAGGAGAAAAAGAGAATGGAATTCATTAGCACATTTTTACATCACTTATAAAAAGTTAACTATTGATATATAACAATTAAGATTTTTTTCCCCTAACCTAAGGGAAAAAAAACATAATGTTCACAGAGAAAATGGGAAAATAAGTGTGGGTTAAGGTGTTTTTATTTCCGGCACCTTTTTCATCAGAAATGGTGATAATTTAACTTGAAATTAGATCGCTCCACCTTGGCTGATTCCAATTTGTCTTGTAGCTAGGAAATGAATTCTGTAGCCCAGGAAGGCCAGCCAAGGTTGTTGAATGTGATTACGTATAAAACTTATGTTATTCATTCTGAGTTTTCTCAATTGTATAGTCACTTTGTTTGGAAGTTGGAGTTTTTTGCTAGGTTTGACTTATTCAAATTAAAGTCTAGATTTATAAGCAAAAATGTCAGATGAGTCCCATCCCCCTTAATTAATGGCAAGATAAAAACATGTCTGGCTGAGAGCCCCCTCTTAATGAAAAGCCTATTTGCCATATGTTCATAGTCAAGCCCTTGGTTACAGTGAAGTAGGAGAGGCAGTGTTAATAGATTAATGCCCTAAATAGAAATATTAGCGCCAGATACCAGACCCTGGTGTATATTTTAAAAATAATATATGTAATAAATTAAGAAATTTCCCTCTTCTGATAAAAATCACTAAGGATGTATTGGTCCAAAATAAATATGTAATTTTAGTATGGTAATTCCTTTGAAGAAATGTTAAAGATCATTTTTAAACCTAAGAATCCAAGAATTACTTTGATTACCTGGGTATATGATCTTAAAGCTAAGCTGTAATCATAAGCATGGGAGATTACTGGGTTTGCATGTGCTGATTACTTGATATTGCAGAGAAAATATCTTTCTAGTTAAAATTATTTCTATCAGTAAAGCTTTAATAATGAAATAATCTCTTTTCTTTACTTTCCACGCTTTTCTGCATGATGTACAGGGCCAATACTGTGCATGGCACCCACTTCAAGTATTGGTAGGTTTTTCAACGCCAATTCTCAACTTTTTCTAATCTGAAAAAAAAGTGTTGTTCTGCTGTGGCTATGAAAGCTGAGTGACTGAATGATGTGGCTGTACATTTTTTGAGTCTTGAAGGTTTAATATGGTGCTGTCTGTGTCATGTCTTTGTGAACCCAAAATAGACCTTTCTCGAGTCTTAGTTGGTTGCCACTGTGGCCAAGTACTGACCCTGCTATTTCTGTATTTCCACCCTAAAAATAGCAACTGAAATATTTTGAAATATTTCCATACCTAACCAACCTGGCAATTAAATGTTCTTAGATTTACAGCTGTTATTTAAAATTATAAAATGTTTCAAATGTATAATTTGTGACGTGCAATGAAACAATTCCTCCCCAAAAAGGTTATCCATAGACCTAAACCATTCAGTACTTAGATGTTGAGAAAGAAAGAGTTGAGCAAAGCTAGAAAATTCTATACTGTTCTGTGAGTCTAGAATGAAGCAATTTTCTGCACAGAAACCAGGCACAACAGAATTTCACAATGACTCTTTGGGGAGTTATGTGGTTTTTTAACAACCAGTCACACTCAGATTCTTTAATTAGCCACCAACACAATATGGAAGCCATCTGTAAGCTATTTTCTACATCATTAATATTGAAGATGAGAAAGTGACTGCTTCCCTCTCAAGAGAACTCTTGGAGGGGAGTTCACAGTTTTTATAGTTCTCATGGTCACCAGAACAGATCAGGAGAAAATAGCTCTGATGTTCATGCAGGGAGAAATGACCCCATCCACCCCGACCATCACATTTCAATCCAGCTCCCCCCATCCTTTTGGAGAGTTTGCAGCAGCTTGACCTCCATCCCATAAGTGGGCCGGACGGTTGATGCAGAGCCCAACAGAGACTAACAGGTTTATCGGAACAGAATGAAAAGTCAAAAAGACAACCACACAGTAGTAGCTCTCGCTAACATAGCAGGGGCTGAACCTTGGCAAGGGAGGTAAGGCCTCTGTTATCAAGAGATTGGCTGTACCTTGCCCGAATTAATAATATTTCCTTGGCTACTAACAGGGACGTTATATGCATATGATTAGAAGAGCAGGCTTCTGCAAGCTCCTGAAATGTGTCTGTTTTCCCACTTTGTGGCTGTTTTCTCCAGGATGTTCCCCTGTCCTTTCATCCTTAGTGCTCTGCTTAGGAATGCAATCTACATGCTTCAGTAGTGCTGCTTTCTGTCCAATTGCTGCACTCTCAAAGGAAAAACAGGAGTGTTTCTAGAACTGGCACGTGAGACAATAAGGGATGGCTATAGGTAATGGAGGAGCCGTGGTGGCGTAGTGGTTAAGCATTCGGCTGCTAACCAAAAGATCGGCAGTTCGAATCCACCAGTTGCTCCTTGGAAACCCTATGGGGCAGTTCTACTCTGTCCTATAGGGTCTCTATGAGTCAGAATTGACTCCACGGCAACGGGTTTGGTTTTTTCTTTTTTTTAAAATTGGTAATGGATAACTAGAGATAAGAACAAGGGATAACTACAGAGTTTCTGTTAAGCATCATTTGGGGCATGGTTTTGGTTCTATGACATTACATATGTTGATTTTCCTCTCCAGCCCATTTGCTGTCTCTGTAGATTTCAGAAAATCTGAATTTGATAGATGCAAACATGATAAATTATTGTATATGCATGCTTGCCATTCACACATCAATCCCTTGGTTTGCTTTCCAAAGTGAGCTAGAAACTAGAAAAGCTTTCTGCAGCAAACAGAAAACATCCTAAAAGAGATGTTGCAGCTGCTAGGCATTGTAGCTGTGATATCCGCTGTGAAGACAAAATTTTGTTGGCTATTTACTATGAGAGGAGCCTTGGTGGCACAGTGGTTAAAGCACTCAGCTGCGAACTGAAAGATTGGCGGTTCAGAGCCCACCTGCCACTCCATGGGAGAAAGATGTGTGAAAGATGTGTGTAAATCCTTAGAGATTTACAGCCTTGGAAACCCTCTAGGGTGGTTCTACACTGTCCTATAGGCTCAGTATGAGTAGGTTTATTTACTATAAAGTGATCCTTGTATTTGATTGATAAATAGCCCAAGTTTCCAAGGACTTTGCCAGTTGTACTTAAAACCCTGCTTGCATAGTCCACTGCACTCTTAATATTTGCTCCCCTGTCACATACCCACCAACCAAACTACCAATTTTTTTTTGCATGCAGAACAAGTAAGTATTCATATAACTATCCCTTTGCACCTGCAAATCTAGTGAGAGCCTCATGTCTGTAAGCCAGGGAACCCAAACACCAATTCATAAGGTAACTGCCAGACTAATTTCACTTCGCATGTGCAGCCCAGTTACTTGTCTGCTTAACTAGCTATTCACATAGATAGCGCTGGTAAAATCAGATTTTTTCATATGCACCCATTTTAACCCCTTCTGAAAATTTAGCGTTTTTATATTGTGGCAAATATATATATATATATAAACACAACATTTGCCAATTCAACATTTTTTACATGTAGAATTCAGTGACACCAATTACATTACTCATGTTGTGCAACGATCACCAGTATCCATTGCCAAGTTTTCCATCACCATTAACTGACGCTCACAGCTTCCTAAACAATGACTTCCTCTCCCCCGTCTCCCCTCCCCCACACTTACCCCTGGTAACCACTAATAAACTTTGGTCTCTATACATTTGACTGTTCTAGATATTTCATATAAGTGGGATCATACAATATTTGTCCTTTTATATTGACTTACTTCACTCAGCATCATACTTTCAAGGTTCATCCATGTTGTAACATTGAGTCAACTACGTTATGATTCTGCTCAAAGACTTACTAAATGTTGATAATGGTTTTGTTTTCATCAATGGTGACTATAATTGGCTTTTCCCCTTTTCTCTTTTAAATTCTTCCCCCTTCCATGTTGTGTTGCTTTGCACTGACTGTGATTGCATGTTGCACCCTGGTGTACCCATCATGATGATGTCATGTGGCTTGTTGCTGTGATACCTACCATGCCCCATTCGATCGTATATGTCATGGTTGCATAAATGCTCCACCCTCCCGTGTATTCGTCCATGGTTTCCTACTGCAAGTGCCCATGATGCACGGTGCTACACCTACCACTGTGTCTGCAGCAACAACACCTGCCACCAGCGTCCCCTACGTTGCAACAACCACAGGCAATCAGGTTTGGCCATTTACTTCACCTGTTTAGATGTAGATAACTACAGTGTGTAAGGCACAATATATACTTTTGGGATTGGTGAGACATTGATTCATATTCTTATATATTTCTTAAGCAATTGTCACATTTAAAAGTTTTATTTTGTGTATATTCTAGAATGCTGCGTATGATTCATTACCCACCTTGAGATTCATCAGCAGAGTTTCACTCATTTTTAATCAGTTACCAGATGTTGTTCTTGGTATGCTATATATTAATACAACTGTGGCTGCCACACCAATCCTTAAATGTATATACAGGTATTAAGTATATCTTAAATGCTTCCTTGTTGGTCACGAGGTGAATTTGTTTTAGTTTACTACCGTGTTTGGTTATTGTGTTTGAAATTTCACTTGGTACAGTCATCACCTTTACCTTCCAATCTACTGGAAAGAAAGCAAGCCATCATATTTCTTTCCAAGGCACAGGTATCCATATCATTGCCCAGTGATTACATCAGAAATTCCTTCTCATACTAACATTAGATGTGCTTGTGTTGTTTTGATTTTCATTTGCCTTAGGTATTTCCAGGCATAGTCACAGTGCAAATTATAAGTTTTGAGGTCTCAAATTTTTAAGGAGCTACATACAATAATTCTTGTGTACTGTTATGGCCATTTGTGCCCTGTTAGAGTGGCAGCCATACTTGCAGACTGCAAGTTCCACTGCTCTTTAATTTACATTTCAAGTATGGTAGCCATGTATCATACTGAGCATTAATTCATTGGAACAAATCACATTCTAAATTAACTCTTAGTGGAAATGGTTAATATGTCTAAATTTTTCTGTGAAATTGAGTATGATTATTGACTACCATGTCCAAGCAGTGAACAAAATAAGCCAAATCATATCAAGAAACTATTTTAATCTAAAATCTTTTTTACTACTATAGATACCCCAATTATCAATAGATGAACTGAATAGCAGCATGTTTGTTTCACAGATGTAGAAGTTACCAGTAGAACAGTAAGTTTCTTTAAGTATTAATAGAAATAATATTTATTGGTTATCTCTTTTATTTACATAATTGCATTTGCTAAAGACTTTGGTAAATATTTTCATTAATAGACACTGCTTATAACTTTAAGCCAGATTTAAGCATTCTAAATTGTTCACATTGAAACATGGAGAGCAAATATGCAATTTCTATATGAAAATGACAGCTGGTACTGTATTTTCCCAATGAGCTAACAAATTCTGAAATGTTTTCGTATTCAAATTAAAGGGGTATGGTTTGCTAGTCAAAGGCACAGATCATTTCTGAATTTTAATTCTTTAACACTTTTGTAGCTTCATTTTTTTTATTGAAGTAAAGCAAAGTAATTTTTTCAGGATGTGATTGAGATGATCATCTTAAAATAAGTAAGCAACATGCTTCTCCTTATGACATGACAGGAAATAGTGCTTTTACAGTCTTCTGTTTTGTGTTGCTTCCCATGTAAGTCTATTAGAATTGCTCCAGCTGTTTTGAGTTTTGAGTGCCATAATTTAGTAATTTAATCATTATTTTCATTCGAGTCATGTTCTTTTTGTTGTTGTTGTTGTTGGATTTTTTCTTTTACCCTTGATCTCCTCTTTGCCTGGTCCAGATCCTGTAGTAGCACACACTTGATTTGAACAATTGCTTGTTTGGAACATGTGGCTTTTGAAGCCACTTAAGGCTCCAAGGCATCTAATTAATGATAGAGACTTATTAAACAAGCAGACCAATTCTGAACTGCACACATTAGTGATTGAAAGGTTGAACTTCACACACCGAGAGTGTTTCATTTGGTTGAAGGAGATGCCAGTTCTGTTCTCCCAATGGTCTAGTTCCCCAGATCCCAGCTAACACTTTCCCATTGAGGACTGTTCTGGACAGAGCCTATAGCTGACTGTACATTAGGTAAATAGCTCCCCTCAATCATAAGGAATGTTTTAAAAAGATACCTTTCGATATGTGGAAGAACTAACCAAACCAAATCAAACCCATTGCTGTCGAGTCTATTCTGACTCATAGCAACCCTATAGGACAGAGTAGAACTGCCCGCATAAGGTTTCCAAGGAGCAGCTGGTGGATTCGAACTGCCAACCTTTTTGGTTAGCAGCCGAGCTCTTAACCACTGTGCCAAGTAGCTATAAATTGGAATATTTTTCAGGGGTGTCACTTGGGATAGTGGCAGCTTGAGAATAGCACCAAACATGAGAATGTAGGTTTAGCAAACACTTGTCCAATTCTCATGGCTGCTTCACATCAAGGTAAACAGAAGTTGTCAAATATAATCAACTTTCCAACAGAACATGTGATTCTTTTTTGCTTGATTCCATTTGAAAATTTAGATAAATTTGTCAGAATGTAATCACTTCAGTGTGTAACAGATGTTGAAAATTTTTCCAAAGTTAAAAATGTAATTTTGTAGAATATTACATACAGGTAGTCCCCAACTTACGACAGGGTACCATTCTGACGACTCCGTCATAAGTCAGTTGTGACGTGAGTCAAATACCTTTTTTTTTTTTTTTAGTTTTCATTACTATTGCCTTTTATTATCAGTATCTTTATAAATAAAATCTAATCTTTGCCTTTAGGGATTGGAAACATTACATATAAACTTACAGATATATTTTAATACATATATACATTAAAAATACACAAATTATTTTAAAAAAGGAAGTCATAAGGTGCGATTTATCATAACTCAAATATGTCATAGGTCGGGGACTACCTGTACCTAGATTTCACGTTTAGGCTATTTGCGTACGGCTCCAAAAAATTCTGATAAGAAGTTTAAAAGTTCATTTCATATTTGCATATTTCAAAATGCTTGGTATCAAACACGTTTTCTCAATATATGCTTGTTGAAGGGAGTGGATGGATGGTGAATGTTCATCGAAATGTTTTGGCATTGTGTAGATAATACCTTAACACTGTTGAGTGCATCTCTGCTAACTTAGGGGAATGCTCCACATTAGCGTTCGATAAGAATCATAGACTATCATAGGCTTATGGTTCTTTACTGATCATTTCCAACAGCCTCAGTTTTGTAGATATAGAATCTGAGATTTGAGTGGGGGAATATCTTGGCATTTTTCACACACAGAACTGGGACAATAACCACAGTATCCTGGCTCCTATTTCAATAACCCTTCAATTTTTCTCACTTTCTTTCTTTCTTTTTTTTTTTTTTTCCGTTTCAGTTGAAATTCTGAACAGCAGAGTTACGGAGTATCAGAATCTCTCCGTGAGAAGCTCCATATGGCCTTTCCATACATATTCTCGTATGTCCTCTTCTACCAACTCAACAATAAGTGTGGTGCAGTCAATATATTAAGCAAAACAAACATACCTACCAAATTAAAATAAAAATCAAGCATTAAAATCAATAGAGATCTTAAAACACGAATAGAAAACTAACTACCATCTATCTTATTTGAATGTCAGGTAGAACATGACCATTAAGTTTTGAAACTTGTTACTTACCCTTTGTCATTTTCCAATAGCCATTGTGCTGAGTGCATCTCCACAGTGGACTGTTGCTGGTTTACTGTACATTCTTGGTGGAAAAATGTTTGTCTGATTTTGAAGTGTTACAGTTTTGTTTACACAATAGTCTATTGGGTTGATTTAGAATGTATCGAATGTATCCAATACCATTTTTCCCATTGTTCTATTAAATTGTACTGTGTCAGGTTTTTACATTCTATCTAGTGTGTTCTGTATATGTGGGGTATTTGATTTCAACGAAAATGTTTTTAGTGGGAAACAGAAACATGTTCTTGAAAAACGTGACAGGTTAATGTTAATATGCTCTCTCTAGGATATTTCTGTAGGTTTCTTGGGACAGACATTTAAAAGGCTTCACTTTCTGAGTGTGTACAAACCTGTTCACAAACATGCATGTATATAATTCATACCTGCAGATCTGACTTTGCAACATAAAATCACGTTACTGGATTTTTTAGCGAGAGAAGTAATTACCTGCACAAAACAGGGAAATTCTTAAATTAACCCCTAATTTCACTCCTTTTAAATAACTCTCTGATAAACAAGAATTTACCTTTAAGTCAATTTCTCAACATTTCTACTAAAATTATGTAAAAGGCCCATTACATTTTGTTTCAGCTTAAGGATTCTGTCTCCTTGGTTGAGTGTCTAAAACTGAGTCATTTGAAATGTTCAGCAGAGAAACTGGTACTTGGAGGCTTTCAAGGTATGCTAATTACAGGTTATAAATTAAACAGGGAGATGGGGGAATGGAGATAGTTTTACATATTGGAGGAAAGTATGTAAAATCATTGCAATGTAACCTTTTACACAGTGCCATTTTCTAAATGCAAATGGCTCATCCTTTTTAGACTACTCTTTGAATAATAAGTAAGATGTAATCTAGCAAAAGTCAGTCAGGGTGAAAGAGAATTGGTTCCAAATGACGCCTTTCCTCCCCAAATGGACAGTCTTCTCTATTGATCACAGACGTAGCTTGAGTACAAGTTTGGAGAAATGACCAGGAGAGGAGGTGGGGAGGCGTTTAAAATGATTCTTTCATTTATTCAAAAGTTCTAGGAAGGATGTCCGCAGTTGTCTTTAGCTTCAGTACAGCTGTGTTTCCAGTTTTGGTAAACTTATCTGGGAAGGAGCAAGTGCCTGTGATACATGGCAAGCTTATTAACATCAGAATCTCCCCAAGCATAACCAAGCCTCTTTTGTTTGTATTTGTCTTTAGCTGTGTTTGAAAATTAGAATAAAGAGGCTTCTAACACCCTTTGGATGAGATGGAGTGGCTACACTCCACAGAGCTGAGCTGAACTCACACTACTAATAGTTATGGAATAATTTTACAACCAAGTAAAATAGTAATTAGTCTGTTCCTGTGGTATATGGCATACCTCCTCCACTCAACTCAGTTACTAAAGTTACTATCATTATACAGTAGAAACATATTTTACAACATAGATAAATTTAATATTTTCTACTAAATATATATTCTCTCACTGGAAAGTATAAAATCATCAAACTTGATAGGTTTGTTTTCTTCTTCATAAAAATGATAATTAAAGAAAACTATCTGATTTATGGTACCTTACACCGGTTAGTAGTATTCAAATCACAGAACAATGGAGACCTTTTCATAGTTGATGAAACTGAGGCCCAAAGCATGTGACTTGCCCCAGACTACCTAGCTAGTTAGTGGCAGTTGGACCCGGGAATATCTCCTGACTCCCAGTTTCTCCTCCTTTTAACTGCGTGCTTCGGAACATTTGAGACTCCATCCGAAAGCACATAAGTTTGGCTCAGAATACAAAAGAACAAAATTAGCCCTCTGATAGTTGATAGCCTATTGATCTTAATCATCAATGCAAATCATAATCAAAAGTGATTTCTAAGTGATCTTGCTTGTATCGAGCCACTGTCATCCATTAACAGTATTGTCCGGAGTCAGAGAACTAAGAGGTGTCTTGACCTTTATGTATTGATTCTTTGAACCACTTAATTTCTATTTCCCCAAATCTTAACATTGTTAGAGAAGAAAGTAGAGTACACCTTTTATAAATTACTTGCGTATGGAACTGAGTTTTATATAACCTATGCCAGTGCCTCTCCAGAACAGCAAATCTGATCCCATGAAGCTAGAAAGGATACACCTGAGCTGGTCTGGATGTGTTCCTTAATGGAGATGGGGACATTTTCAGTGCAAAATAAGTTTTTGTGTAGTCTGACATTTTTGATGCAACATCCTGTTTCATTTAACTTTTTAAACTTCTGGCAAAGATGTGCATAGATCTTAAACCTAGAATACAGCTGTTTTCATATCACTTTAAGCACTGGAGAGCATTAGTAATGACTTATTTTTTAGTAAGAGGTTCAGTGAGGGATATTCAGGGTAGTTGTTGTATTTTTGGTGCCACAATTTTTTTGTTGCTGGCATATTTAAAGAAGTTTTATAAATGTGTTTAAAGAACGAAAGCTGAAAGCACTAAAGTTTTGATCAAATTCAAAAGAATTTTGACAACAATGCAATTTTAAGATTGCAAGCACTCTTTAAACCAGTTGTGCAATGACTTACTCAAATGATCTTTACTCAAGAAAAGAAGATAGATGTCATGAGACTATAAATGTCCAGTTAAAAAGACAAGTCACAAAACTAATCAGTGACTCTAAACAATAATTTACTTGATCAATTGTATATATAAAATTCTAATCACTTTTAATTCTTAACATTTTATAAACTTCCTCTTTTTCACGGGCCTCTATTTTTAGTTATCCAAAGTTATTGTTTTTGTCCAGTTCTCTCAGCCTTTTCTAAAAAATGCAGGAATGATGAAACTTGGGTAAAACGGGACATGTATACAGAGAAAGTAATCTACAAGTCATCATTTAAGAGGATTTAGTAATACCAGTTAAGAAAAAGAAACACTATGTAACCATCATATAAGTATATTTTAAAGAGGGATTAAAATTAAAACTAAATGGATTCATAAAATTGCTATTTAAATACAGTATTTCCTTTTTGTAACTGGAGCATGATTCCACAACCAGCTCTTGCATTTCATTTCACTTGTCTAGATCAGAGTCTTTAATTTGTAGTTAGTGGTGATGTGGAAAGCCATCTTCTCCCTCCTCCATCAATCTTCTCCATCCATTTTTGAGCATGTTAAAGCACTTTGATCTTGCCAGAAGTGTTGTTCTACATCACTAGGCTGTGTTCACTAATGGGCAGCCTCAGCTCACCTGCTCTCCAATTGGGGAAAAGCAAGTACCTCTTCCCTGCCATCAGCAGGAACGGAATAAAATTAATCTTTACATTTGAATCTGCTGTTAATGGCACGGCCAGTAAGCAGAGCAATGTCTGAATAAGGAACAGCGTTGACATTACATTTTCTTAAGTAAGAGAGAAACCCCATGTGCTACTTAGAATGTTATTTAGATCTCTCAGCCCCCTTTGGAGAGTGTGGATAAGGATGCCCTTGGATAAAATGCAGCCACAAGTTTTCTGAATTCTTTGAGGCTGTAGGGTGTACTGTGATGCACAAAATGATTAAAAACTGGATTCCTCATTCTTTTTATCCCTTGTACATTTCACACATATTGAAATAGAGATAGGTAGAATTTATGAGGGAAATCTAATTTCCCAATCCTGTTGAATAGATTTAGCAAAAATAGTGGCCTAATTTTACCAGTGCCTGTTGAAGGCCATAGACTAAACAGTAGGTAAAAGAGAATAACAACTTTTTGCAGATGTAGTTGATGGCCTAATCAAACTGTAAATATAACTACAAATATACATTCTGAGCGCCAACTCACTCATTGGTGCCATGTTTTCATTTTTCTTATTGTTAGTTTTTAAGGTTTTTATTGTATTACTTTTTTATAGCTCTAAGTAACTAATAAATTTTAATTTTGAAGGAGAGTTAGAGGAAGTTTGTTTTTACTACATGTATTCAGCCTGCCTAGTTATGTTCTAAACTGACACTGAAGCATGACAAGGTATAGACTATAGTCCATAACTATTCTTTACAGTTCACAGTTTAAGAACAAATTTAACTTTATATACAAATAATAATTAATTGTTAACTAATTATATTTAGTTGTTGCTTTGGCAACAAAATTTACAACATGGCTACCTTTAGGCACATTTTTTGGTGTGTGTGTGAAACTTTTACTTGTAAACTATACATGGTTTGTGACAGTATGAGCTTGTAGAAGATACAGCTCAAAACTCTCAGCACAGATACGTTCGAATTTTCTTTTTTAAATCCCAAAGTCCCATGTGAAAACTGAATTTGTATCCTTGTGTGACTTTTTGGTCAAAAAGTTTACAACACTTGGATTCTAGAGTCAGGTTTTATAGCTTATAGAATTTGTTGTGTGGATAGGGTTATTCCACAGTATTTAGACTTTAAACACATTTGTTGCATTTGTAATACGTTACCTGACCTATTTTCACGCATTTATTTCTTCAGAGTTACCCTATTCAAGTGACATATCTGTAGCTGCAAAAATTCTGGTTTCTGGAATTACATAGTTACACAAATATATCTAAATGAGGATTAAAGCATAAATTCATATTTGTAAGACCATACTTAAAGATACTGTGGAATGACCCCTTAACAGTGTTTAAGAGACATATGCTGCAGTTAACTGATTGTCTCAGTTAGGGTGCGAATGTGTGAGACACACCTTTTTTGCACTTATGTACATAGTCCATGAAAGCAATTCTTGGAGCTTTGTTGAATATAAGAAGTCTGTGATAGTAGTGGAAAAGTTAGTAAGAGTTCTTTCTAAGGCTGTGAGAAGGAAGGATTTTTTGCTATAAGACTTAACAAAAGTATGATTTTACTTTGCTGTTGTGGAGGCTGTCTCGTTTGCTACAGCTCACCAAAAGAGAAGACTTGTAACAGGTCAACTTCAGCTTACAGCACTGAACAAGAGTAACAGTACTTCATCATGTAGCAAGACCACTAGCAAAGATTGTTTGCCCTTTTACTTAATCTCCAGCATAAATACACACACATACACACACACACACACCCAGGCAGGTTTCTGGCTGAGGTTTTCTTTTTACAATGGTTACAAGCAGTGAAATACACTATAAATGGCAAGGCAAATATTCCCGTTAGAATAGAATCAAATTTCATCTTTCGCAGAAATTTATCAATGTATTATATCAATTAATATGTATAGCAAGTAATATGTATTTAAGTGACAATCAAATTGTTAATGTTGACCATGATTCCTCCTTTAAGATCCAGAACTCAAAACCAAATTGGGAACCATTGAAAGATTTCACTTAAGTATGGCCAGCCTGGGGTATTTCACTCCCTTCAACCATGGAAAAAATGCTCCTGTCATAACTTTATACATGGCTTTAGTTGCATTATTTACATTATACCTGTTTGGTGGAAGCTGTTTTCTGACTTACAGATTGGAAAGTGCTTCACTGTGCCACTTCAGCCAAAATCTTAGATAAACTAGGAACTGGAAGAGAATGTTTCAATCAGACTGTCTCCATCAATTTTAGCTCCCACACTACCTACAGATGGCCACTTAACTTTCTTGTGGCCCCTAGACAATGAGACCTAGAAAAGGCCAAGGTTCGAAAGGTTTAAGGATCGATCACTGTCACTACAGGTAATTTGAATCCTTCACATCTTGGGGCATGTTGCTCTTGCCCTGGAGAAGGAGCCCATCCTGGGATGGGGGGAGTTGGTATTAGTGTTGCTACCCATTTTGGCAGCTCTTACTATAGAGACAGGAAAATAAACCAAAGCCAGAAAGCAATCCAAGCCTTACAGTTGTCCAATAGCTCAGGGCCAGTTGGCTAGAAAGTTCTTTTTGTTGTTGTTGTTCCCTCAACCACGATCACTTAGAGTCGGCCATACAGTGAACAGTCTGACCATCTGATCAGCATTCCTTTGGATATAAAATTTAAGCATTCATTCATTCTGTAGTTAGGAACTTTCACCATGAGCCTTACTGCCAACATATTTTCCCAGTTTAACACATGTTCTTGTGTTGACATTTCCATGTGAATCTATAAGCCACAGAATATATTTTCATAAGGTTGATAGAGATATCATAAGATTTTAAGGAAGATTCATCTATGAAACCATTGGAATGAACCTAGAAGCATCACAAAAGATATTCAGTGAATTGATAGCATAGTGTGTATCCTGATAGCCACGGGGTCATTTTCTTTGGAGCTTAGTACACTCAGTGACTGTCTTTACATGAGTAAAACAGATTAGAGAATGAAGTATAATTGAAATTGTATATAACTGAGGCCAGAAAGGACCTCTATCATTAAGTCCACAAAAGGACTTAGTTTGACTAATTCATATAGTGTCTAGCCCTTCCACTTGTCCTTGCCTGTAATAGAATCACCCATTAATACTCAAAAGCAGGATTATTCCAGAGAAATTTTATCTTTAAATAGAACTCATCCTCATTTGCGGTACACCTAAAAGGAGAAAACACAATCACTATGAAGTAAGTCACAGCTCTTTGCAGATATTGCAAAACTCTTTGCTAGTCATCTTCTGTAGTAAGACCTAAAGGTAACCCAACGATTAAACAGTGCTTTTGTTCTCCTCCAAAACACACATCTAAAGATTTATCTGTCGGAGAACTGCGTGGTTTCAAAGCTTTATTTCCATATACAGATGTTATTTGTTAGTGATGGAAACCGAATTAGTTTGTTGCTATGTCTTTTGTGTCTAGCAGTGGGAAGGACGACCTGACCATCAGCTATTGGATTCTGAGGTCTTGATTTTCAAAACAAAGTTTCCTTTTACTATTATTGCTGCTGCTTTAATTATTAAAAAATGAACCATTTGTTAAGATGCCCCCAGATTATGATCATTTAAATTAAGACTTAAAAAAAAAAAAAGGGATACTGGTAAATGTACTCATTTTATTTAAAGGGCAAACTTTATGCATTTATGTAAAAACAATCTGGTATAATGTAAAAAGTAGAAGTCCATATTTTGGGCAGAAAAATGTTGATTTTAAAAATATCTGTAGATAAAGAGCCCAGGTGGCACAATGGTTGAAGCACTTGGCTGCTAACTGAAAGGTCAGTGTTTTGAACCCACCAGCAGCTCTGTGGAAGAAAGACCTGGAAATCTCCCATAGAGATTACAGCCTTAGAAACCCTATAGGGCAGTTCTGCTCTGTCCCGTGGGGTCACTATGAGTCAGAATCGACCGACGTGACAGCACACAACAATAGATAAAAATATTATTAGCCTTGTACAACAATTAATAGATTTAAATAACAACCAGAATAGTTCATAAACGTAAACTATTCCTGTAATATTTTGCCTTCAAAATGCAATAACTCATTCCCTCAACTGCTATCAATAGGGCAGATGCTTCAATTTTGTTTTGTTGTTTTTGAGGGTTTTTTTTGCCAAGTTATAGTGCTGTAGTGCTTGTTTGTGTTTAGAAGTGTGCATTATGCAACTCATTTTAGTATGCTACATCTATGTTGCTTATTTTTTGTTCTTTTAATAAAATGTGTAAATTTCTTTGTTATGTCTTTTTTTATGAATCCATATTCACACATCAGGAGTTTACTTGAGATCTATTCATGTTCTAGTATGTTAACCCTAATCTTTAGAAATCAAAATTTAAAATTGTGATTTGGGTCGATTTTATATATCATACACAGAACACATTTCTTTCCAAATATATCTTCAGTATTTTGAATTATATTGATAATGTGTCCATTTTATTGGATGTATTATTCCTATAATATTGAAGTTACTAACACAAGAAAAACACTTGTATTTTAGTAAAAAGAAACTTAAAATTTGGGGATAATACTTAACTCGTTTCTGTTGTGCCTCAGAAATTCTAAAGCATATTCTAAGATACATTATTAGAAGTTTGTCTTTTCCAGTCATTCATTTCTCTCTCATATCTTCAGTGGAACCTATGAAATCAGTGTTGTTCATTGCAGTCTTTTCAAGATGGGCATCAGTGGTTTCATAACAATGAGATGTATGCCTTTTTCCTAGAAAACATTTTCTCTCACTTAAAATTGGTTATCTCCAACAAATGTCACAGGAGTGAAAGGATAATCATTTTTATTCTTTAAGAAAGCAAAACGTAACTTGGTAATCCTTGATTCTGTCAGATTTCTAAATACTTCAGAAACACTAATCTGCAACTTCTCCACATTGACCACCCGTTCTGTAGCCAGGCTGACAGAACTGAAGTGAAAAGTTTGGATCAGAGGTTGTGGCAGAGTGAAGTATTATTCATGTGTCTCTAATAAGGAAAAGGGCCAGGGAAGGAGGTGGGTCTTTGTCTAGTATCAGCTGAATCATATAGAGCCACTAGCTCCCTCACCCCCTTTGCCCTGCTTTACTATAAGTGTGGTTCCCACTATGGCATTTCTTGGTACACCAACTTTAAGACCTTTGATGTGTTGTATATGTTTATGTGAGTCTGTGATAATCTCAGCACTAAAACCACTTCAGTATATAGACATTTACAGGAGGCCTTTGGCGTCTTCAGAATTCAGTTTATGTATTTCTCTTTGAAGCTGCTGAATGATAAGAATTCAGGGCAGGCATCCATGACCATCATCAAAATGGAGCCTTGGAGTTTCTATTGGCCAGAAAAAAGTTGACCCATAGGCAAAACCGTATGTAGACCAAATTTGTCTTGGGTACCTTTCAGCCTCTTTTTTTTTCAGCATCCTTCCAAGCCCGTCCTTTTCTCATCCCTTGTGGTGGCCTCTGGCCTTCTAGAAGTCCCGTGGCAGTATCTTATCAAACATGCTTCTTCATGTAGATCTGGATTTTCTCCTTTAGAACTTTCCTGTTGGGCATCTCAGGCTAGAGAGAGCAGCCTTAGCTAAGAACTAAGGGACAAGTCATACTAAGGAGTTCAAGACTGGTAGTACTTAATGTGCTACCCCTCCTGGGAATGTCTATTTAAAAAGACAAGACTCTCCAATGGTTGAATATCAGACAACCACACACGTTATTGTATGCTGTTGAGTCAACTTCGACTCATAGCGACCCTATAGGACAGAGTAGAACTTTTCCCTAGGGATCCCTAGGTTGTAATCTTTACAGAAGCAGATCATCGGGTCTTTTCTCCCAACGAGTCACTTGTAGGTTTGAACTGCCAACCTTTTGGTTAGCAGCCAAGCACTTAACCATTGTGCCACCAGGGCTCCTCACACATTGATGAGGGTGATATAACTTACTGACATAATCTTGTAGACATTGAATCATAGCATTCAGACAATGATCAAATTCCTATGAATAAGAGTGGTCCAGTCATTCACCACCTGAAGAAGACCAAAAGAAAAAGAAAAAGAGGAATCTTGTGATTTTGTAATTGTTAGGAAAGTTCTGATATAGTAATGAGCCTAAAATAATGACTAGGTACTGAACATTCCAAAATTCCATGGACCATAATCCACTCACATGGTCAGTCTCATAAAAAATAGCATCTATAGAGAGCCCTGGTGGCACAGTGGTTAAGCGCTCAGCTGCTAACCAAAAGGTTCGAACCCACCAAGTGGCTGCACAGGAGAAAGACCTGGCAATCTGCTCCCGTAAAGATTACAGCCTAGAAAACGCTATGGGGGCAGCTCTACTCTGTCACATGGGGTTGCTATGAGTTGAAAATCTACTCAGGGGCATCCAACAACAACACAGAGAGCAGGACACAGTGACTAGCCTGATACATGAATACATTTCTGGAGTAGACTAGTGCCTGTACCTTCTAATATCCAACAGATGGCCACACAGATTGTAGTTTTGACATTCCTGTACTATAAATGCCCATTTAACTAAGCCCTCCCAGTTTTTTTCCTTTCAGTGCCTCAACTCATACTTCTCCCTTAGGCCAAAGGACAGTGGGAGTTTGGGGAGTAAAAGCCAAGAACTCCAATCAGAGTACCTTGGATAGAAAGGGCATCCACCAGGTCATAAGGATTAGGTTTGTTAGAGGAACAAGAGGCATGATTACTGTCCTTACAGGCAAAAGCACTGCACTCTGAAGTGGATGCAGAAATCGGTATCAGAAGGGAGTTCCAGTCAGGGTAGCCCAGCATTTTAGTGTTGTACATGGAAACAGAGTGCAGTGCCAAGGCAGGCAGGGCTCCAACTACAATGTACAACAGATGCAAGAAAATCATAGGTTTTCCTCATGAGAGAGAGGGAGGTGTCTCCCCATAAGTGATGCAGTGCGCTGAATGCATATACAGATGCAGAGAGAGAGAATGGTGAAAAATCATAGAGTAACAGTAACAACAGCACCTGTTAAAGCAGATAGCCTGTTCATTAAAAACTGGACTTGAGGAAATGCAGAAGGAATCTGAGGAGTCTCTGCAGTCAGCATACTTCTAGAGACCTTATGGCAACAGAAGATGATGATCAACCCATTGAGGATCAGTATAGGTCTCAAGAAGAGGATGGGGAAGAATGGGATCAGGATTGAGACTTTGCATTGAGCCTTTATGACCTGAAGCATTGAACAATTATTTGTTGGGAAAATTGGCAGTTAAGAGAGAATCATATCTGTGTTAACTGTCTATATATATTGTAAGTGGTTATTGGTGTGCCTTTGTTAACTATTCAATAAATGTGTGTAGTTCATTCAATGTGTTTTTGTTTGCTTCTTCTCAATTTCTAGTTACAAAATCCCAAGTTAAAGAAATCCATTTATGGGTTGTTATACGGAACACACATGAACCCAGGCAATCAGTGGTCACAATTTGGGGCTCTAGGTAGGGGCTACCCATAAACTAGGCATTTGTGCTAACAGTCACACCCAATTTTCACAGTTGGTGTCCAGGATCTCACTGATGTCAAGTACACCAAGCAAGTGTTTACCATTAACTGAACACCAGCCAATGGTGCTAAAAAGCAACTCTAATAAGCAAGTCTTTTCTCATGAGGAGTTGGTCTAGAGATAGTCTAGATCCTGAAGATGCTTGGGGCTGCAGGGGTCACTGGGATGAAATTTTGGGGCTATAAGATCACCCAGACCACCCAGGAAAAATGGCCAAGGAGTGTCAGACATGCAAGTGTCCTCTCCTCTCCACATCCTGGAGACAGATGTCCCTATGGTAAAAGACACAGCTCCAGAAACTGGGGGGGGGGGGTGGTTGGAAAAGCCAGTCCAAGAATAACTTTTGAGTCATAACAATCTTTACAAAAAAACCTTAAATATTATTTTTATTATTGTATACACATCCAGTGCTGTCACTCAACCCTTCTCCCTTCCAATCCTCCACACTACTACTGAAGTCATTTTTCTGAAGTCAAAAACTGATGATGTCACTTCCCTGACTAAAAATCTTCCATAGCCTCTCAGTGACTACTGGATAGGCTTGCCCTCTAGCATCACCTTTGCCCTCTCTCTTCTGTAACCTGTATACTTCAGACAAACCAAACTACTCACTGTTTTCCAGATACACATCATAGTTTCTCATATCTCTATGCCTGTGCACATTTTTCTCTCCACTTGGAACACCTTCCCCTCTTCTCCCTACTCTTCCCTTGCAAACTAATCTTTCAAAGTATATGTAAACTATCAACTCTTCCTACAAGTCTTCTCTGGCCTTACCAGATACCACTCAGCTAATATTTAGTGCTTACCAGGCGATCTTAAAGCTCAGTACCTACCTCCCCTACAGTGCTTACAACATTGTCTATATGCCACCTCCATTAAACTGGGCTTCTAAAGAAAGAAAACCAGGTCTAGTTCATCTTGCTATCCTTCATTATGCCTAAAACAATAGCCACACAGTAAATCACAATAAAAGACTGTTGGAGAAATAGCCAACTAAGAAGTCAGGGTACTTTTATTGTAAAGA